TTCAGCATATCTCTTGTTAAAACCACATGGCATTCTGGGAACTTTCAGCCAAGAAAAGGCGGCAAACAGGGACTCCTTTTGGGTGAAAGCAGGACACATTTACTAAGAAGGAAGGATTTCCCCCTCCAGGAAAATATTATCAGTCCAAATCACCAAACATGAATCTTATCTGGAATAAGCATCTGTTTGGCACCTTGAAGTGCCTGGTCTAGCATTAGGCAACAAAACTGCTGGTCTTCTGGCAACATCAGCAGATGCTTTAATTATAGATTATGGAGGCCCATCTGGTCTAGACATGGAGAAGAATCAAACCCTTTTGTGCCTATTGGTTGCAAGACCTAAATAATGGCCATATTTTATTTATCTTTGCATCCTGAAGCTTAGTCCTATGCTTAAAATGTAGTAGATACTAAGTCGTATTCTTGAATGAAAACAAGGCAGGCTAGGGACAGGCAGGAAGTGATAATGCCAAAGATTCCTGGCATAAAAACCTCTTATTGAGTGGACTGACTTAAAATGTATTTCTTAATGTAAATGATGTAATTCTCTTTATGTATGTGTGTATGTGGACACACACATACATGCTTTATAAATATATTTATATATAAAAGGATATATAACTTTTATATATCATATGAAACTTTTATATATATATGAAACTAGTAATTATCAGTAAGGTATCCTTTAGCTCTAGGTATCTATGATATCTATTATGTAATATTACATGCACACACTCTCTCACACACACACACACACACACACACACACTCTCACACACACGTCTGTATGTAAGATAGAAAGTAACCCTAAATTATGGATGTTTGGAGCTGAAAAAGGCCTTACTCATATTTATTAATTTAATCCTTATGTAGGAATATGAGGAAAATTAGATGCTAGAATAAGCCTTTTTTTTTTTTTTTTTAACTTGAACACCAAGAGTCAACTTTGGGCTGCTTTACCTTCACCTTTGCAGGCCAAGCCCTGGTTAGTCTTCTAAGCCCGTGCTAGAAGGAGTGTACAACATCATCAGCGAATGAAAGTAGCCTCACTCTCATCAAATGGTATCTGGTATTTGTAAGGGAGCTCTGTTCCTATTTGTACATTCTTTCCTCCCCCAACCTCCCTATTATACATAAATAGCCTTCCTCTAGCCCAAGTTCTCAGTCCGCTGATCCCATCTTGGATACTTTGCTTTTTTTTCCCTGACTCCAGCTTACCCAGTCCTACATTCTTGAAATCCCGCTGAAGAGCTGGTCTCGCTCCCAATACCTTCAGTTGCTTGCCACTGGACTTCAGATGCCCCTGTTCCCATACCTTAGCCAATTTCAACCTGCTGGAGTAAGCCTTCTCAAATATGGATGTCAGCTGATACTACGAAGAGCCTGCCTGACTTCTTAGCACTGAAATTTCTGGTTGCACAGTTCAGTCCATTTCTCCTCTCATTTGTCTGATTGTACACTACCGAGTATGTATCCCAGCTGAGCCCGGTGTGAGGAATGACACCAACCACATAAGTTTTAGGAAGGCTATTAAAAAACAAATACTAGGGGCCGGGCGCGGTGGCTCAAGCCTGTAATCCTAGCACTTTGGGAGGCCGAGGTGGGTGGATCACGAGGTCAAGAGATCGAGACCATCCTGGTCAACATGGTGAAACCCCGTCTCTACTAAAAATACAAAACATTAGC